TATAACCATAATTCAGAAGGAACTAAAAAACATTAAAACGTTCAATAACTTTCACAGAACACCCTGAAAAAGTACAAATGAAAACACATGTATTCCTTTATAGTTCTTCATAATGTTCAGAGTGTTCCCAACCTTCATCAGTTCAGCCAAACACTTCACTGTTCTGTAGCTCACACAGACCAGCTACAGCAATAAAATGACTGATCTCAGCCCTTCTCCAGCTATAGCACCCGCTGATTCTCTGGGTTGGCCACCTCTGCAACAAGTAGCTCCTCCTCAACAATTTTCCTCCCTAGAAAACCCATCAGTCCCATCAGAGATTGTTAGAAAATTCATTAGTAACTTCCATTTAGTTTCTCCATGGATAAGATGTTTCTATTGAAGTAAAATAAGCCATATATACAGTACCTATCTAAAGAGCCTAACAGCAAGCATTTAACCCTGCTATATGGTTATACGTTAGAGAGTTACATGATCCTTTACTAGTCACATAAAGGAAGTATCCTTTTGAGCTAGCATTAAGGCTTAGCCAGCTACAAAAGACTCATGTATAAGCAACACAAAGCTGAAACTTGGTTACAGGAACCCTTGCCTGTATTTGAACAGTGCAGAGACTGGCCTTTAGGTCTGAAGGAATCTAGACATAAAGCTGTGTTCATGCAATTACACACACTCCTATGTGTGTGCAAGTTATTTGTAATCAACAATGTAAATGTTCCTTGCATGGACTTTGTGCTGCACTGAGCTACAACTGACAAGGACACCAGGAAACTAAGATAACACTAAACATCTGTTAATGTTTAACTGCTAACAATCAAGTTGCCACCTTCTATTTAATATTAATCTTTGTTGTGCGGAATGCAAACAATAGGCAGCATGACAGAGTAACTATTTTATATTAAAAATAATAAACAAACAAACAACCCACATCATAGCTATGGCATTGCTCCACAGCAAGTACTTTTTACCTCTTTGTTTAGATATACATCATTAGTAACATCATGGTACTCCTCTGTGAAGAACACATAATCTTTATTTTTTGATGTGCCAGCTCCTATATTTAAAAATGAAATTGTACATATTGTTCATAATTGTAAACATTGGAATCTCATATAATTAGAGCGACACATCAGCAGCCAAATGACATTCTAACAACCATCCATCACAATCACTAAGTATCTGATACTGGATAGAAGATTCATTGTAACGTGCAGTAAATTTAAAGCCCTACTCAGTTTACTTTGATAATTATAACTGCAACACTAAATTAGAGAAAACTGTCATCAGAGCTAGTACACGAATGGCTGCACAAATTTTGGGTTAATTTATAGCTGCTACTCTACTCACTAGACATTTTACATCTCAAAACTCAGTTTAACAATTGAAGCTACAGATAAGTCAGGAAAAATAACTTTTCAGAACAGAAAAATGAAAAATTGTCTTGGAAAAGACATGAAACCACGATATGTAGGTTTTAGGGAGGAGGGTTTTGTTTGTTTTTTAATCAGACCACTGTAATAAAAATATGGTATCACATTGCAGTTCTCTAAAAGGAGGATACAGCTCTAATTCCTAACACCTGCATTTAGTAAAGAAATTATAGACTTCCACATCTAGTGTCTATGTGAACTTACCAAAAGACTGACAGCATTTGGAAAACAATTAAAGAAATAGAATACACGTAGAAGTTAGTCCAGTAATTTTCAAGAGAACATTGAAAGATATTTAATGGGCTCACAAGGAAATGCGGCCACAGTGTTCTGAGTAAACCCTCTTTTTTTCCTTGTATTCAATAAGGTACAGCATAAAAACAATGATGCTACCATAAATGCCAGTGGTGGTCTCAAACTCTTTGTGTTAGTGCAGAAGCAGAGGAACACAAAAATTTATCACATACATGAGTTTTAGGTAACATTAACTTTAATATTAATCTTTTATACGTGCTGCTTCTAATTTCAATTGCATCTACATATAAATTTGGTAGAATTTTGTAAAGCATCAGAGGGCTTTTTAGTCTACAGTTTCTTTAATGCTTCAGCATTAGAAAAAGTTATTGTATCATAACTGAATTCAAAAGCCTCCTCTTATCATATTACATTATATGTAACTATGAAGAAAGAATTGGAATGCCAGTCACTATTTTTACTTCTGTACTTATAAAACCTCAAATTCCAAGCTATTCCAAAATAATGATGAAACTTCATAAGAGTCACTGTAAATCTTGTATTTACACTATTAACAACTTCTGCATTCATAACTTTGCACCAGTAGTTTTTTTTTTTTTTACACAGGTATTTTAAAAGCACCCTTACAAATAAAAGTATTGCACTGACATCATATAAAATTCACAGTGAGTTTAACTTCCAGACCTTAGAAAAACAGTGCAAAAGCTTTTCACTGTGCAAGAGCTTTTTATCCAAACATTCCCAGGTCATTATGAAAGATACTTATGTATAACATGCTGCAGTTATTTTTTCTGTGAATTGGGTTGGTTTCCTTTTTAGTTCTCACTTCCTGGAAAATCAAATTTAAGTTTTGAAATGATAAAACAAACAAAACAACAACGAAACAAAACAAAACAAAACAAACAGATGTGATCCAGTCCAACACTGAAATAGGTGCATTTGGCAGAGATATAGGTCTATGCACCCACTTCATATAAAGTCCACTGTGATTGCAGAAATTATTCCATATGAAAGAATCTTACTGCACGGAATACGGATTTCTCCTTCCATAATGTGTAGCAGTTTCAATTCTTTTAGAGGCAACAACTTCAACAGGCTTGTCTTCAGCAGATCCTGCAGATCATAATACATTAAGAAATAGTTACTCCAAAGTAGTCTTAAAACAGCCATATAAAACTCTAAATCATACCTTGAAATCAGTCTTAAAAGTACTTTTCCGCATGTTTAACAGCCAGTTGGATCCCACACATGAAAATAAATAAATAAATAAATAAATAAATAAATAAATAAAAATTAAAAAAAAACCATCAACAGCTCATCTCCAACAGTGACCAAGTGTGGATGTTAAAAGCATAAGATCATAGCATGCAAACATTACCTCTTCAAAATATTATCTCAAATTCCACTTACTGCCCCAGGTCTTGTCCAGATGGAACATAACATCTTCATGTCACTTCTGTTTTTCTTTGTAGCTTTTTGAGTCTGTAAATTCTTATCTGTCACTTTACACTACGTCAAACATGCAACAACTCTTTGATACGTGCTTTGTCATTGGAGGGGTAATAAACAATTGTTCCTTATGCATATTTTGATACCACTTATGACTGTGTAGATGGACTTGAATATTTTATGCTCTGCTTCTCCTTTCAGACTCAAGAACCCTACTCGTTATTCTTTCAGTATAACTCACTTCATACCTTGAGATTTCTCACCCTTCTCACCCATTTCTACTATATATCTTTTAGAAACAAAATCGAAACAGCATGTAGTATTTCACTTACCTTGAACAAGGAAAAAAAAAAAAAAAAAAACACACAGCAAAACTAGTAAGCACAAGAACCAAGTGACAAAAAATGCTTAAATGAGTTTCTATAAAGAACAATCTTCCTTAGTAAAGCAACAACAGTTCACTGCACTTCCCCTTAACATCCAGATTTCTTATACGTGTAATTTCAAGTTAATTGAACAGGAAGTTTTTGTAATAGCCAGTATAGTAAGTATAGAAAGTTTGACTTTTTTCTCCCTCCATACTTTCCTTCTTATGTAAATGTGCTATGCGCACAAATGGTTCAGGAATGTTTTCAAAGCTTCAGTGATTCTTCAAGTGATGTTTGAAGCTGGATTCTGACATTGCCTTTGCAGACTCAATAGTAGCCATATTCTTCAGATGACTGAGGTTCACAGTGACAAGTAGCTCAGCTATGAATTCCTTATGAGTTTTGAACTATCTGTTGTAACTCTGCCTCCAAGATAATATGCCAGCTGGCATTTCACTGGTTTTTTTTGTTTGTTTGTTTGTTTGTTTCTGTGTGCAACAAAAGGAGCGTTTTGTGTTGGTAGAGCATGAGCTTCCTTCCTCACAGGAGTTCTAATGGTAGTGCTTTATGCCTATTTGTTACCTCACATTTCAAGTTGTTGTCAACAGTTCAGCAGCAGTCAGGATCAGTTCAGGACTGCAGCCTTGGTATCCTGCCATATGTCAGATCTTCCAAGATCGAAATGCCAAATTCTTCATGCTCATGCATACTTCATTTCATAGAACTATAGAATCCTTAGAGTTGGAAAGGGACCTTTAAGGTCTTCTAGTCCAACTCCCCTGCAATGAACAAGGCTCAAGCTGCAATGCACAGCTCAATCAAGTTGCCCAGGGCTGATCCACCCTCACCTTGAAAGTCTGGGGGATCAACCACAACACTGGGCAACCTGTTCCAGTGCCTCACCATCCTACTTTCCTGTAAGAAAAAAGACTTTTTCCTTACAGCCAACTTAAATCTACCCTCTTTAAGCTTCAAGCCATTTCCCCCTGTTCTGTCACCGCAACATAGCTGCCAGGAGGATCTGCTCCATGATCTTTCCTAGCACAGAGATGAGACTGACAGGTCAGTAGTTCCCAGGGTTATTCTTTTTACCCTTCTTAAAAACAGGTGTGACGCTGTTTTTTTTTCCCCGGTCATCGGGGTCTTCACCTGATTGTTACAACTCCTCAAATATCACTGAGAGTGGCTTGGCAACTACATCAGCCAATTTCCTCAAGACTCTGTGATGCATTTCATAGGGACCCATAGACTTACGGATGTCCTTCGTGCTGGTCTGTTTGATTTTGAGACATCGTAGCCTGCTGTAGGGGGCCTGCTTTGTAGGGGGGTTGGGAGTCGATAATCTCTAGAGATCCCTTCCAACACCTACAATTCTTTGATTCTGTGTGTAAGCAAATTTTCAATTTCCATTATCGTTAGAATCAACTTTTTCTTTTTTTTCCTAATGGACCAATGGGATTAACATAACAAGTTTTTGCTATTGTTACTTTTCGTAAGTTCAGCACGAGGTGAGAGGATTTCCTGCGTTCCCAGACACGAATGACCGATTTTCCCCCAACCCAGCTTTATCACACAGCTCCCTCGGCCGTGCCCACCCCAGCAGGACACGCCTCGGTCCGGCCCCCCGCCGGCCGCCCCCCCCCACTCGCCTGCTGCCGTCGGCGGGGCGGCGCGGCGGGCAGCGAGCGCGCTGCAGCTCCAGGTCGGCGGCGCGGCGGGAACGAGACGCGGTGCCGAGAACTGAAGAGAGGCGGAGGCTGAAGCCGTGCACCAAGCCCCGCAGCACGCTATCCCCGCGGCCCTTGGGCGGTGCCAGCCCCACGTCGTCGCGCAGCTCCTCTGGCGACACCTCCAGGTTGCCCGCGTACCAGAACACCCACCAGATGAGGCTGAGGAAGATGCCGATGCCGCCCGCGTAGATTAGCAAGTCAGCGAAGAACACGTCGGCGAACACCCCGGCCAGCAGTACCGCCAAACCCACCGCGTCGAAGGCCAGCGCCAGCCAGAAGGCGGCCACGCAGCGGCCCAGACCTCCGGGGGCCGCCATGGTGGGAGAACGACGGCGCCGCCGCCTCGAGCCGCCCGCACCTGAGGGGGAGGCCGAGGCCGCGCCCCCTCCGGCCGCACCTGTACTCTCGGGGCCCCGCCCCTCGCTGAACCGCCCGCGTCGCGCCCCGCCGCCGCTGAGGCGAGGCGGGAAGACGGCACCCTCGGGAGCGCGCCACAGACGTCGGGCGTTTCTCCCCGGCGTTGAGCGCTCGGCGCGGTGCCGGCCACACGTTCGCGGGGGCCCTTCGCCCAGATCGGGCTTCCGCCCCGTCAGGCCGCTGCCCCTCACCTGCCAAGGACCTCCCGTTGCGAGGTCTCCCGGGCATCGCTTCACTTAACGGCAGAATAGCTGGTGCAGGCGTTGGAGAAGATGGCCCGTAGCAGCTGTCAGCGTTCCGGAGTTGAAGCATCCCTTGCTGATTCCTGCCGTTTCCTGGTGCAGGTGAGCGTGCGGCACTACTGAGGGCGCTCCCACCTGGGCGGCACCAAGACGTGACCCGATGCGAGGGTTTTTGCCTTGGTTAGCCAAACGTGCTGGCACCTCTGCCCAGAAGGGACGCACTCCAAAGGAGGCTGGTGGGAGGGAGCTGTACCGTTCCAGACAGCCCTGTGTGAGTGATTAGGCAGCCTAGAGGGGATAGGATATTCACAACACAGTTATAAAATGTGACGGTCACATAGAGTACACATTTGAGGAGATTGCTTAGAAGGAGCAGTCAGAACACAGCTTCAGAGTAACAAGCAGGCAACAAGTAGTAAATGCAAGTACAGAGATGAACCTGATTTGTAAAAGGTGCAATGTGTGGTGTAGGTCACCTAATGAGAGTGAAGGATCCGGTACGCATCTTTCCACCTTCCAACACTCAAGCACAGTAACTACATACAAGCGTAGGCTTTCCTGCACACGCTCTCAGGAGACTTTTCTAACACTTGCTTAATAGCATGCAGCCACTAGTAAGCACGAATACCAGACCGGGGGCAGACACACACACTTAAGAGCATGAGCAGCTTCTACATCTTCGTTACAACGATGCCACTGAGGATAACAGTGACGAAGAATGCAATTGGTTTACTGTAGTTAAGATCAGACACTCTGTTTCAATCATAGCACTTTGTTCACTTATCACTGCTCATCAGAGCCTGCCTGCGTTACCAACACTATTCAATAAAAGGTATCTGTAGAGAGACAAGATGAAATCAAAAGGAAAACAAGATTGAATTAGTTTCTCTTCTTACTAGGCCTCAGTAATAATGCTATTTCTTGCAACATCAAATAAAATACATGGTATTGAAATACAATCCAAAGCAAATAAGACAAAAGATGTAAGAGTTACTAAAATACTACAGAGATGTATACATTTATAGTGAATGAGTTCTAAAAAGCATACTTAAGTCTCTGTCTTAGGTGAAAGCATGTACCTGTTAACAAGCACAATACATTGCTACCACTACACCACCTTTAATTTCTTTTTAGAAAGTGAAAAATGTATACAATAATTTGTACTACAAAGAACAAACAGTGTACTCTCTCTGCCTTTAGAATTTAATATATTTTTAATAGTGCAATTGATTGCTGAAGTCTAGAACTTTCAATGAATAAATATTTGTTATTTTTGTCATTCTCCCTGGAAAAAAAGTTTCCTTAACAGAACAGTTGATTAAGGAAGGAAATACAATGATACATATGGTAAAGAACACTGTGTTGTGTCCCAACCAACAGATAGTGGTCTGATCCAGAATGCATGGTATTTCCCTAAACAGGGGTTCAATTTCAGTCTAACATCATACAAGCTAAGTTACTACTCCATTTAACAGCTAGCAAGTAGCTACAAGGTGAAATGAAAAGACTAAGAACTGAAGTCTACCATATATTGATGTAGTTACAGAAACATTAAATGCAAATGCCCTTGCAATATATTTTATAGACATATAGATAACGCTCAAAACATATTTTAAGTGGAAAACATTGAAACAAATCAGTTTACTATTACTTCACTACTGTGGTGTCTAGAAACTTAAAATTGACCAGAGCTCTATTCCCCTTGATGTGCAAATATATTAGAAACAACCTCAGTAATTTTAAGCTTTGAAAAGTGAATCTAAGCAATGCAAAGAAATACAGTGGAGACAAAACTGATTATCTTTCGAGTCAAGTACATCCTTGTTATATGAGGCTTAGGGAAAAGCAGTAGTTTTGTCGTCTTAAATGTGAAGAACAGCATAGAGGAAACCGAAGTGGAACAGAACGCTTTAACAGTATATAGGAATTACTGAGAAAGATTGAAAAATTGGTAGGAAATAGTAAAGAGAGACAAGCCAGAAGGTTTAAAGACATAGTAATTTAAGAAATTCATGTTTATAGTTTAAAGGTAAGACTGTAGTAATGAAAATCACAAGCACTGACATTGCTACATGAATGCAGAGTTTAATGAACAAGGAAATCCCTGTGCATTAACTCTAAAACATACACAGAACGTGGAAGTCAGGTGGGAGGAAAAAGCTCATGTAAACTGTGGCTGTGCAGTAACAACAAAAATATAACTTCATGCTGTTCTGCAGCTGAACTTACGCATACAGCTAGACATCCTTCAAAAATAACGTTGCTCAAACACAACAAGCTCTAGAAACCAAAAGATTTAAATTGAAAGATACAGCTGCATCTTTTTTTTTTTTTAAAGATGGAAAAGATATAAGGTAACAAATGCAGCTAATTAAAATAATGTGTTTATTTGTTCTTCCATTAGAAGGAAACACAAATTAATCATAAAGCCAGTGAGAAAAAGCTCCTAGGGTCAGTTTTACTTAAAAAGGCATTATTTTATATTCATGAAAAGACAGCATAGAATAACTACATAAAATGTTACGGTAGATAGACAACATTCATGATGACTGAGGCCTACACACTTTCTTGGCTGTTTGCTTGGGTGTTTTGGAAGATTTCTTGGATGACTGTGCTAGTTTGCCAGCTTTGTGTGTAGCAAAAGACTTTGCTTCAGGCTTTTTAGGAGTCTTTTCCAACTCTTTTATTTCTTCCTTTGCCACGCTGAGCTGCATGGGTTTTTTTTGTTTTGGTGACATCTGCAAGTCTGCCTGCTCTTCTATAACTTTCTGTTTTGAAGTTTCTGGAGCAAGAAATTGTTTCTTTCTCTTACCAAGTGTTGCTTTTGTTTTATTGACCAGATTGACACTTCTTTCTGGACTTTGACTTGGTTCCTCTTTCTGTAATTATGACATAAAAAAAAAAAAAACACCAAGCAACATTACCCTTTCAAATGACAAACATTTTTACTGTTATTGAAGAGATTTAAAAGAGCCATTATAAGTGACAAATGCTTTCTAATGATTACACAATTCCTTAGCCCAAATGATTTACTCATGTATTTTGCCAGAAGTAGAAGGCAAAACACAGAATTAGATCTATGTTTATATAAAAACATAAAATATAAAAATAGTTACAAAGTAAATAAATGGAACAGATACAAGGATGTTCACCCTTCTGGCTAACCAAGTCACTAACTACTCTGCTGGCAGAGCTGAAATCACAGTAAGCTTGCTACATGTCTGGGCTTATTAGATTTGATAGACACAGCTTTTATTCAAAAGCCATATGCAGAGACTGACTGTGCTTTGTATGTGGTCCAAGCATAGTATTCTCTAGAGATATTCCCAAATGAGCATCATGAAAGAGAGTTGCTTTCAGAACAATTAATCCAACTCAACTTCAGCTGTAACCATCCCAGGGCTCTGGCAATCACATCACATGAACTGATCTAGGCCAGCTGCACGACAGCAGCTTGAAGCAAACTGATTTTTTTTTTTTTGTTGGGCTGTACATAATCATAGTAGCACAGACATCCGTTCAGACATCCCCGAATAGATACCTATTAAGGCTATGCTCCAATCACAAATATAAATTTAACTGAGTTGAATTTAGAAGCCTTACAGTTTTATTCATCCCTTGTCTTTCCACTGGGTATTTTTTAGGCACAAGTAATGCAAGTTTGGCTGCTTTGCAAGCATGTTAGCGATGTTCATTACCTCCAGTCTTCATTACCTCCAATATTCACAGCAGTACATATGTACACTGTTTCACTGCAAACTGCTCTCAGTGTATATCATGTGATCATTAATGTTGCACATAACTATTCTAGAGAAGGTGTTATTTGTTTTTCAAGTTCTTCACTACAATTAGATAATACAATAAATTATTATTATTATTATTTTTATAAGAAATTTGGAATTAATCAAATTAATTATTGATTTAATTTCTTAAAGGATGAAGCTCATCTTTAATCATTTTTAACATTCCTTCTGACTTCAGACCTGTTAGATAAGCTAAGCAAAATGGCTGATATTCAGGAAAAGATAGAAAGTGACAAACAGCAGCTTTCCTTTTACAAAGAAATAAAATCAAAAGCAAAGCACCCCCCCATTAACTCAGCTCTCACTTTCGTGTTTTGTTTTGTTTTAAGAAAATATAGTTCATTTGAAGTATGTTAAAACACACCATTCCTTTGGTGACAAATTATTTACATAGTTTAAAATATTTAGTTTTAATTGAAATGTTTAATAATAAACTATTACCTTTAGCTCAGTTAGGCTGGTTATTTGCATAGGCACCAGTTGTGGAATTTCTTCATCATCAGCATGTTCCTCTGGTTCTTGGACTACTTTTTCCTTTATCACAAGCTCTTGGGTAGCAGCAGCAGCCTTATTTTTAGTTGTCACTGTACTTTGTCTTGAATTCACCTTTTTAGCTGCCTTCTTTGGTTTCTTTTTCTTTTCCTTCTAGAATTAATTTGAAGTACTCAGACAAATCCCCATAACATCTCTAAACATATAACAATTGTTTTCATATGTCTAAAAGTAATGCAGTCTAGCAACAAATTGAAATGTTTTTCAATTGACCTAGGCTGGTCAACCATAAGTAAAATATGAAAAAAGATGTGTTACTTTCAGCATAGGGGAAAATTCATAAATAAATGATATTACTGTAAGTATTAAAGTTTTCAAAATGTATATATGTGCTACCAATTTGTTTTAGAAACAGAGATGGAATAGACAGAACTCAAAATAAAGGAATAGCTATTGTTATTTTTTAATGTAGATGAAGTTCTCCCTACCCATTCTCTGCAAAATAAGATACAAATATCTAAGAGTGGGAATTATTTACATACCACAATGGACACAGTCTAAATCCATGTATATGTTAATGAATGTAGTTTCAGTAAGCATATACGAATAAACAAATATGAATTCAAGCAAAAGTTCTGAGAATCAATCTCAGTTGAGTCGACTAGAAACCAGCTTATTTCCAGTTTGGGTTATAACCTCTTGGGGGAGTTTCAGTGATTTATTGCTACTGTGTATTGGAAGTGCTCATAGTCAGGAGTACCTGACCCATTTGTAGCCATACTTGTCTTCAATCTACTGCTCAGATTTGTAAACCCAACACATTAGATCTATGCTGCATAAGAAGAAGCCAAAGAACTAGCGGCTCCAATATAGTTTTATGGAAAGTTTTATTTTTAATTGTTACCTCTCCTTGCTTTTTATTGATATTTGGCTCTTTATCAAGCTCATCTAAGTTGGAGATTCGTGCAGTAAAAATTGGAAGTGATACTGATTTAAGTGTCTTCAGGTGAAGAACTTTCACGTTTTTCCAATTCTGCAAACATAAAACAATGTATATTATATAAGTAGTATCATGTCTTCAGCTACATTGTTCATAATTAGATGCAATGAATCTGCAGTACCTTTGGTAACTTCTTAGCAATCACCTCAGCTGCTGCAAAGACATTGTCCAGTATCTCATCAACTTTCATTCCAGTGTGGCCTATACGTGCTGTACTGGAAGTAGAAAAGAGTAATATTTATAAGTGGGCAAGTAAAAACACTAAGTTATTTGTTCTTAAGTATACCTAAAAATGAAAAAAAGCCCACTTATCTGCAATTATCTTGGCCTTCAGACAGGATGGCTGACTACTAAAGAATTCTTCTGTAGTAAAAGTCTACACGTATTAACTTTTTTACATTATGAAATGCAACTCCTGCCTTATATTGCCAAGGTAGACTTATATTTAGATCATCTTAGATGCACAATAAATGAAAAAATTCTTGTACAATATTTTGGGAGGAGTTTTCAGCTAATTAAAAAATAATAATGATAATTACTGTTTAAGACCATACATGCTATTTGTCAGTGATAGTTGCCTAGAAATTCCTCAGCTATATAGAAAAAAAACAACTTTACAATACGACTTCTTAGTGAATAGAATTACGATTCTCTTTATACAACTTCAGGTTCAAGATGACCCATACCTAGACTGCTCACCCTTCACCCATTGTTCAAGTTAATGGGTGAAATAACTCAGAATTCCTACAGTTAAGGTATAATAGCTCTTCATGCACAGTATTAAGCTGTTCATACTTACTAACAGCACCCTTTGTTGGTAACCGGTAGTACAGTACCCTGAATATGCTTTTGGAGCTCCTTAGCAAGATTTTTTGCTTTCAAGTTCACAGATAAAGGTGCCCTAAAAAGAAAAAAAGTGAAGGGAACAAGAATTTTAAAAAAAAAAAAAATCAAGCAAACTAGCAAACTTTCAGTAGAGCAATAAGATCCTTAAAAATAATTCAAAATGGATATACAGAATTTTACCAACTTTTTCTTTTCATAGAAGTGTTTTCCTAGATGCGAGGGCAAGAGCCTTCTGATTCGGTCATCAGACAGAAAGAGATCAAATCTGTTCAGGAGGCGACGCTTTGCTTCAAAAGGTTTATACTCTTTTTTGAGAGTTTTGTAGGAGATGACCTACAACAAAAAATAACAGCCTAGTTGAAAACACAGCACTGAATATTTCTTATAACTGCACATAATCAACTTGTCTTAACTAACAGTTATAGATGTTTTAGAACATTGAAGACAATCAATAGAAAAAGGACACACTGATTTTCAATTTTAAGAATCAGACAACACAGATCCCTGGCACAGTATCACCAGAACTAGAACACATAGCAACATCTAAACTTAGATAAATACAGGAATAGAAAATATTTTCCTGCTTTATTGTGAGTTGTATAAGTGATTCGATCCAGCTGCAAAGGACTTGAATATTCTGCATTGTAAGTAAAACTGAAAAAGTTCAAATCCAATACTTAGCATTTATCTAACAATTACACCTGAATGCTACAAATATAATTTTAAGTTATTCTGAATAAATTCTGTAGTTTGAAAAACGAACAGTTTGAATACTCAGAAAAATCTTCTGCGAGATTAACCTGGAACCACTGAATTTAGAATATTAAATAGCAGGAAAGAAATCAATTTCCCTTTTCGCTGTTACAAGAAAAACACAGTGATGCTGCGCTGCATCATTATCTCCCTTACCTGGCTAACACTCGTGATTCCATTCTGGGTTAGAAGTTTCCTGTAAAGACTTTCTGTCTGTTCTGCTGACAGATCTGGTTCGTCCTTTGTGAACAGGCACACCTCAGCCGTTTCTGCTCGAATGCCATGGGGCAGCGGTCTACAATAAGAACATGAGACGGAAGGGAGGCAAAAGCGTTTTGCAGAACTAGGCCTAAACTGCTGCGGGCGGGCAGCGCTCAGAGCCAGCCCGGGAGGCGCCAGGATGGGGCCGCGGCGCTCAGAGTCTCCAAGCCCGGAACCTGCACAGCGCTCTTTCCCTAGTCAAAGGACACGAGCACACCCGCAGCCTCCTGGCCAAAGGCACGTTTCTTACATTTTGATTACTTGCGCCACGCGTGGGATCTTCCAGACCGTCACCAGGAGATGCACACTCTCGTTCTCGTTAAGGAGCAGCGTGTCTCCCTTAGCCTTGCTTCTCGCGAAAGCCAGGAGAGCCTTCACCGCCTTCCTCACCTGCAACAACAGTAACAGCCAGAGTCGAGTCGAGTCGAGTCGAGTCGAGCCCAGCCCAGCCCAGCCCAGTCCAACCCGCCACCCCTCAGCACCTGCCCACGCTCCAGCTTCCGCTGCCCCTTCGCCATGGCTCCACCAGCACACGTGCAGCCGCCGCGCCTGCGCACCGCCTCTTTCCGGGCACGACTGCGGCCGGCCCGGCCCGCCCCTTCCGCAGGCAATGGCCTTCCGTCGCGCGGGGGCGGGGCGGGAGTGGGCGAAGTTCCTTCCGCTGTTGGTGTGAGTACTGGTGTCAGGGGTATGCTGCTCGTGGGTAGTCTTCAGACGGAGTACAAATCGTTATCTTTACTTCAGACCCCACTGCTCTGTTACTCCTAGATTGCCCTCTTGGTATATCTTTGAGGGTTGGTGGAACACTTGCTGCTCTCCAGTCCTTGGAACCTTTCTCAGTTTCCTTTCACAGCGTTAGAAGCTGTTGTCCTTGATGGCCCCAGATACCTTCAATTCTAGGTGAGCTTTTCTCCCGTGGCAATGCCTACATGCCTGAGCAACGTTTCTAGGTTCCTTCTTTGCAGCCTGTCTTCGGTTTTACCTGTAGTACTGTCCTTTTACACTGGAGTACAGCTATAAGGTCCCTATTTAGCCAAGCCAATCTCTTGATAGATTTTCTTGTTTTCCAGTGTGAGAAAGTGCTTCCATTACGATTTGAAGAGGTTGTCTTCACAGCTCTGCTGCCAGCTTTTCTGAGTACGTTTGCCTTTCAGATCTGCCTCCAATGAGACCCCACCTCCTCGTTGCCAAAATCTCCTTCCTAAAGTCCAGGGTCTGTTCTCTGCTACTCATCTTCCTCACACCTTTCATCATCTCAAATTCCACTATTTCCTTGTCACTGCAGCTGATTGATTATCACACATAAAACCACTTATTCCTTGTCTGTGAGCAGTAAAGGTAGAATTACTGCATCTCTGTTCCAGTTTAGAAATGTATTGAGTAATTGGAAACAGCTTAGCTGTGAAATGCTTATGCCACCTAGTGGCTTTACTTATGGCATTATTCCTTCATGTATCAGCATAATTTTCTACACGTTCAGCGTGCTGGTACACAGAGAAAGGAATTAAAATACCCTAGTCAAAAAAAGCTCTTTTATGTAATAATGTTTTCATTATGCTGGTAGCATTCACAGTGGCTTCAAGGCTCCTCCAGCCTTGGTGACAACCTTTGGTAGCAGCGTCAGCGTTGCTTAGTTGCATCTTCATGGTTTGTAATGTCACAGGCATACAGAAAGTAGAAGATTGCACACTATTTGACTTAATATAAGTTGCTGTAGGTAAGTCATATACTGATTGATACTAGTGGAAAAAAATCCTTGAAAATGGAAGTTTCAACTTTCTAATGTGTGATTTTTGAACAAGTAACATAAATGGTTGCTGTGTAGTTGTTGTATGAAGTGTTAGAAAGTTATTGAAGAGTATGTAATCAGGCAGACATTCTTTTCATTCTTTTTAGCATTGCTAGGATTTATGCGTACTATGATGCTAGCAATGGTGTTTTATAATCTGATAATTATATTACCCTTTCTCCTATCTCTGCACAGGCCTTGCAATTTTTTTAGCTGATGTTTTAATAAAACATCAACATATTTTTGTGTGATGTTAAAATAAAACAGAAAAGATGACTCTTTGAAAATAAGCTAGACTTCTGTTGTAAGAGGTGAATGAAGTGTGCTTGAAGCCTGTCTGTACTAAGTCAACATAGCATTATTAAAATAAATTAAAGGGACTGTTATGTCACTATTATTTTGATTTACTATTATTAATGACACAAATTAAAAATTCTCACATTTCAGTCTCATCCAAACACATTTGTTTCCACAGCTTTTTAAGTCCGATGTGACTAAATTTCAGAAGATATAGTTTAACAAACTTAGTAGGACCATTTTCTCTTGAAAGGTGTTTAATATAGTTAATAGAGCTGTCAAGGAAAAATAAGTTAATCCCTGGATAAGAACAATTTTGCTTAGTACATGAGTTGCATGCAATGGGTATAAACTATGAAGGGCATACTTTCAGTTTGGCAAATTCAGTTACTCATTGCTGTCCCTGCACACTAAACATGCTCTGTTGTAGCTGTCAGTTTAGGTCGCTGCTTACAAATGTGTGTATTTTTCTCTAAGTCGTGTCATGCTTATGTAAATGCCTTGATTTAAAATTACATACTTGCCAGCCATTCTACATTATTACTTAAAAGTTGCTAAATAAGACAGTATTTCTGTATAACCCTAATTTTATACTTTGTCCTGGCAAAAGGGATGTACAAGCAGCAATTATTTCTGCTGCTAACAGATCCTTGAGATTTAAGATTGTTCTTCTACTGTGCATTCCAGAAATTCCAATATCAGGCTTGTGTTCCTCCAGCTTATCAGATGGCAGATGTAAAAATCCTAGATCTCACTTTATAAAGTATACTTTTTGCAACAAAAGCAGCACAAAGAATACAGAAATTAAAAAACAAAAACAACAAAACAAACAAAAGAACAAGAACACTTTATAGAGACTTAAAAAGAAGATCCCTCTGCTACTTCTGGAGTACAAACAGTGTTTTTTAGATTGTGTTCTTCCGCGTAAGTTCAACTGGCAGCTAGATGGATGCTTACATGCCAAGTTATTAAAGAACTACTGTTTCAGGAGAACAGAGGGACCTGTCTTTGTGACACAAGCTGTACAAATTTTTTTGTTAAAATCCTTTGCCTATCATCAGTTCTACAGGCTTAACAAATGACAAGAACTTAGTCTCAAGTACATTCTTTTCATCCAACAGTTTGTCTGTCTTCTATTAGTCTTATTCAGAAGCATGTAGCCTTTTTTTGGTGTCTGTATAGTTAACTGAAGTGAGATGTAGAAAAATCCAACTTACATTGGAAGTTGAGACTTTGATGAAAGCCTAAGTGTTATTAGAAGTTACATATACGCACAACAGATTTCAATTTTGTTAACATAAATTTCCATTTTATATTAGGACTAGACTACTTTCTAACATTTCTTCTGAGGAAAAGAAAGATTTTGTTACAGTTGTAACATGTTAAAATAAACACGAGGAAATAAACAGGTCCACAATATAAAATCTTCAGTAGTAACTGCAGTTTTGTTAGTATATTTTTCTTTAGCAAGTCGTCTGTAGGGTATACAAAAACAGCAGAATAAATAAGAGCCTTTAAGTTTCAGTTCAGGAAGAAGACAGTCTTTTCTGGAGTACATTTCATCTGCTTTAACATCATCATTTAAACACTCTGCATTAAGAACAAAAAGACCAGAGTAATACAGAATCAAATACTTGGGACAATGGAAACAATCTTTTTTTTCCTTAAGTAATATTCATTAATAAACACTTACAAAAACACATTTCTCATAATTAAAAGTTTGTATGGACTGGTACCATAATTGGTCTAAACCAGAGATTCTTCATTGAGCAATCTTTGCTGGGCCTTTATGCCATGAAAAACATTTGTATAGGGGCATAAAGTTCACAATCAGCAAGCATCTCCGTGGATAAGCTTATTTAGAGCAGCCATTTTTCTTACAACACTATTATACCATCATCAGTAGCTCACTTTTAAGAATACAGTTTACTGCCAGAACAAGTGTCTCAGGAAATCAGTACCATCGTGTGTTTGTATATTAGTTCCCAACTGTCTGCAAAGATGACCAGTGTAACTGGAATGATTTCAGGTAGATGGGTGATGGCTATGCTAGTCAAGAGATTGCTGTGCTCAGCGCTTCATTTAGTGTCCTTTACTTCTTGGAAGATATAGAAACAACTAATTTTTGTATTGCAAATTAATTAGTACAGCTGTACACTTTAACATTTAATAATTGTTACATATATCAAGACTTTCATTTAAATGACATACAGGGTCTTAATTTACATCGTTGTTAGTTTTTGTAAGTTACATCATGGCTGTACATTGAAGCCATATCTGTACTATAAACTTTGGCCAATAATCAGGGAGAATAGCTGCAATCCTGATAAGTCCTGCACTGCACGGAAAGGTGCTGCTGTAAATGCAATTATACTGGGGGAAAAAAAACTGAAATCCTTCCTTCCTTCCTGCAGAAACTTCTTCACAGTTTTGCTGGTATAAGTTACAGCCCAGGACCCAGAAATACTCTGCTGGTATCATAGATAATAACAAAGCTGCAATGGCAGTCATCGTAGGGTTGCCTGTAGCTTCAGTTTTGTTTAACATTTAAACATTTAACAATTTAAACATTTTTTGTTTAATTTTTTTTTTTTTTTTAGCATTGTGGGTGCAGTTCCTGATTTTTCTTTTTCCATCTTGAAAGCAGCATACCAGATTTTGATAAAAGGAAGTGCTCAAAACAGTAATTAAAAAAATAATAATAATTATATCAGGGAATCAGCAGCTAGCAATTATTTCAATCAAAGCTGCACTTTTCCGCCTTTCCTCTAGATCTAGCTGAACTCACTAATTGTAAAAAAAGAGTCTGTAAAATGTAGAATGGAGGTGTAGTGAAAAAAATCTGAATCTGTAATTATTCAAATATAATGTACTCTTATATCCTCTATTTAAAATGCAGGCAATTTTCGTAGATGTATACATTTTCATATCAATATGTTATAGAGTGTAAGTATTTTATTCTCAAGTATAAACTTAACAGCTTAGTAAATCTAATTGCAATGTGTAGATTCTGTTAATGAACTTGAAATAATTTAATTTCCCTTTCCAGGTGAGGTGATGTTAACTGCATTTATAGAAGTGGTAATCAAATGCTCCAGATGAGTTATGGAAGTGCTAAGAGATGCTATCTACTAGCATTTCAACCCACCAGATAATTTTTCATTTTGATAATAAATACTAACTCCAGCCCCAATATAGTAAAGTTTTACAAATCCTCATTGAGTTTACTGTAAAGAGAAAAATTCCACTGGAGCATCACAAAGTCTTGAAATGCATTTGAACAACAGTAAAAAAAAAAAAGTTCTAGCAATTTAGGAATTGCATATTCTCCACTAATGGTAGTAAATTTTAAATTCACGAGCTTGCTTCAAGAAAGAAATACAAGACTTATAGAAATCTTAAATTAATCTAGAATAAAAACAAAAGTAATTTTCCTTGGCTTTTAATTTCTTCATTAGTTTAAGAAATAAGGAGTTATGGTTTTTGTTAAGTTAATGGGGGGGAAAAGGTACTTTTAAACTCTGATCTACAAAAAAAAAAAAGCCCAGAGATTTGCAGACATAATAAAATTTATTTCAATTCCATGCATTACGGTAGCTACAAGTGTACTCATATGAAACTGAAGGACAATAACTTCTTCTGTCCATACAATGTAGCTGTAAGTGAAATGAATGGGAATTCCACAGTTACAAAGAAACAAAACAAAAACAAAAAAAAAGAAAAAAACAATCAAAAAAACCCCCAAACCAAAAAACCCGAAAAGGGTAAATCTATTTCAGTTCTGAGTTCTGTAAATTCAGATACAGTCACTAAACTGTGAACTTTTTGGAGGAGGGGTGGGCTTGCCACAATTATACAACTGAAAGTGTTCAAGGCCTTCTGAAGAAGCTCTGACTATATTTTTTACTACTTCCTACTAGTACTCTGGAAGAAAAAAAGCCTTCATCCTGATTGTTAGAATCAGGATAGCAATTGTAGACAGTCCACTTTAAAAGTGCAGCTAAATAGGGTTTAATTCTGCAGCTCCTTCAAGTTGTACTGAGAGTAAGATTTATGCTGAACCAGTTTCACTTCTAATTTCCCAAGAAAAAAGTCACCTGTCCTTACACTGCTTTTCGATATTTCGAAAAGTTTACAGACTATGATTGATTCTGACCCTCCTATATTTCACTCTTAGGGATTTAAATAGTCTTTCTCCCTCAGAACTTTAAAACAGCAAGGATTATCCAGCCCTGTAAATTAAAGACAGGACAAACTGAATAAGTTACATAACTGGCACATTTTAATTGGCCCAGTTCTCCCACAAAATGCAGCTCTTACAAATATTAGTAGGCACTACTGCCACCAATTGTCGTTTTTGCAATTTCACTGATTTACCGGTTGTTGGAATTCTCTGCAGATAAGAATTTTAAAATCCTGGATTTTTATAAAGACAATATGTAGTTCTAGTCTGCAAAATTGACTGTGTCTAATAGTGATGTTAAGTCAACCTAAGTTTGCTGAAAATATTAATAAATGTAAAACTAATGAAAGTGCCACATTAGCACAAATGTTTTTAATTTTAAAGATGCACTAAGCAAAGGAAAGGGGCAAAATGAATTATTTAATTACAAACTTGGTCGAGTGCCTAATTGCCTCATTTAAAACTGTGCGTGTGGGGAGGCTGAGAAGTTTAGAAAAATCCAAGTAACCAAATATCTAGGTTACTGGACAGTTAAAAAGCTAATGCAACTGTCTGGATAAAAAACATTATTCAAAAGCAATTCAAATACTGAAAAAGATTTCAAATTGAATAGTTTTTATTAACATGGTAGTCATCTTTGTAACATGTGCACACACACTCGCACACTCTGAATTATCTGCCTGGAAAAAAAAAGAAAGTCTCTATATGTCAGGGGAAATTAAACATTAAAAATCCATTAGAATTTCATAATTATAGGCAATTATGTCCACATGACTACAAAGCTATTGCCGAATCTTTCCAAGGAAGCAGAATTTGGGAGAAAAAAAATTTTGGGGGGAAATTCAGTGGCATAGCAGAGCTCTCAATATGAGAAAGCTGACATAATG